GGAGGTTGAGTGGCGAGGAGAGGGTCTGGGAAGGGGGCCCGGCCTCGGAGAGCCCCCTCCGCCTTCTCTCCCCTTTCTTCGGAAAGCAGTTTGATGTGCTAATGAAGGCATCAATTATTGAGCACCATTTGCATTCGTTCCAATAACAAGCGAGGGAGGGGGACCTGAGGGAGTCAGGAGAGTCTTTTGAAATTTACAGCCACTCACTGCTCTCCTGTGGAGTGGGAGTGAGGATGAAGAGGGAGGAACGTGAGAAGAGAGGTGTGCAGGGTTTAGGGTCCCAGATGCTAGCCTTCCTCCTCCTCTGCTGCCTCATCTTCCACGTCCATGCACGGTCACTACTGTGGGCTTTCTGCTTAGCTCTATGGGGCTCATGAAATGCCCTGGTCAGACAAACGGAGGCGGGGCATTCTAAGGGAACCTCAAGCAGATGCTTTGAGGTCCAGAATGAGTAGTTCGGGAGTCAGCCTTGATTTTCTCATCACCCGCTCTTACTATGCTAATCCAAGCCTACTGCTATAGTGTCTTAGGGAAGAGGGGGAAAGGGTGAGAACTTCCCACTCCGGGATGCTCCTGACTCTTCTTTCCGTGGCTCTCAGAGTGGGCCAGGGCCCTGGAGTATTTGGGAAGGACAGGGGGAGTGGTAAAGTTCTAGTTTTTTCCCCCAGTCCCTAAACATGCCAGCTCTTGGCTAAGAAGGAGCATTGCCAGAAGCCACAGGGGAGGACGACCAGGGAAAGTTATGTTGAGGAATGAGAGGAGGCGGGGCAGCACCTGAGGCATCTCAGGTGGAGGCAGCTGGCACGGGATCTTGCTGGGCACCACGCCAGCATATAGAAGCCGTCCTGCTTGCTTCTGTTGGGTTAGGAACACCCAGGCTGTTCAGGTCCTTATCATTCTCTTTCTTGCAGTTAAGTTCTCTTCCAGAGGCCTCATAGGAGGGGCCATCCTTGAAGGGTGATGGTCAGGTCATTGTTTGGGATCATTATGCATTTGTTTCTGTTCAGACTCTCTGTTTATTATCATGCTCCCATGAGGCCCTGGGGATGGCCGCCCTGGTGTATGTGTATGTATATAGGGTCTTTGGGGGAGTAGAGGGTGTGTGTGTGTCAAATGAGTTCTTAGCTCTGAGACGGTCAGAGATGTGGAGGATTCATCATCAGGACACGACCTAGGGACAGAGCATGTGCCCAGAATGTGTGGGCTCTGGGTTCAATCCCAGCATGGGAAAAATTAAAAAATTAAACCAACAACAAAAGTAAGCTACACAAGCTATACCTAGTGTCCAGCATCTGTGATCCCAGCACTAGGGAAACTGAGGCAAGAGGCTTGTAGGTTGAAGGCCAGCCTGAACTATACAGCAAGGTTGTTTAGAAGACAATTAACACACACACACACACACACACACACACACACACACAAATAACAAAAGATAGCCACACAAATGAAAGACACTGGAACCTGGTGATTCCGCCTTGCCGTGGAAGGCTTCTTCCGGAGCCATCTTTGGAGCTGTCTACAATTCCTAGGTGCTGATTTGACCACCTTTCCCCATCCAGTTTTGATCCGTGGAGTCAAGTATTAAGTGCAGGAAAGAAACCATGAAATAGGAGAGAGCAGGAGAAACATCTTTCCAATTGTCCCCTTGGCGAGAAGGCCCAGGTCCGTGGGAACTGAGAGAAGCCTTGTCCTAACTCCTTCCTTTACCGTCCCCCGGATGTCTGCTAAGGCTGCAGGGATATGAGACTTGGAGAGCCAGGGCTGCGTTCTGCTTCTGCAGCCACAGGCAAGACACGACAGTGGAAACAGCAAAGGGGCCGGGAGTCCTAGAGTCAGGACAACTAAGGCTCAGGCTCTTGGATTGTGCAGTCGCCTATACTTCTCGGGGCCTTCCTTTATTCCTCTCTATTTTGTTTTGTTTCTTGGGCAAGGTCTCATCATGTATCCTTGGCTAGTCTAGAACTCACTTAGGAAGACTGGACTGGCCTAGAATGTGTGTTAATCCTCCTGCCTTTACCTCTCAAACCTAGGATGACAGGTTTGCACCTTCACTTCTGAGGAGTGGCTAATATGGCAGGATTAAGTTAGAGACTATAGGCAAAGTACCCACTGATGTCCTTCCCCTTTGATGGGCACAGAATAGGGACAGGAAGACATTTTGTCTACCCTCCAGGAGGGGGCTCTGGGTTGGGAAGACCCCAGAGGCAGAGGGGTCTTATGGAACAGTGTGAAGGTCTGAAGGGAGGAGAGGTGTGTGCCAGGCTCAAGGCTTAATGGCTATGACCCCTCCCATGCACAGGGCCCGGTGCCTCCTTGTGCCCATCTTGGGAAGGCAGCCAGGCAGGGAGCTGGAAGGGTGCCCAGTGTGTGCCCAGAGGCCAAAAGATGGGCACCATCCATTTGGCAGAGGGAAAAGCAGCTGGCCCAGGAGAGAAGTCATGGTCTTAACTGCTGGGGTTGTGTGTCCAGACCGTGTGTCCAGGACACAGTTCTTGGCTGTCCTTCTGACATGGCCAGCTGGAGCAGAGTCCCCTCCCACTGCCGTGTCCTGCCACCTAAGTTAGTGGAACTGGAATTGATTTGTAAGGGGCATTTGGGACCTTGCCCCTAGCTGGGCACGTGGCTGGCTCAGAGGCAGGCCTGGGGGCGGGCAGAAAAGCAGGAGAGCCCAGATTAAGGCTGGGACTGGGTAGATCACGAAGTGGGGAAACCGGTTTGACATCTGGGCCACTTGGGGTGGGGTCTCTTCTCCTGGGCTCTGTCTGCCAGCCATTCTGCCGGGTGGACTTCAGGGAAGAGATGTGGGCATTAGGTGGCCTTTTCTTGACCATTTGAACTGCTTTTGGGAATGCCAGGAGTAAATAAAAAGGACAGAGGGCTCAGCCCACCTGCCCCTCTCGAAGCGAGGATTCTGAGAGGAGGAACTGGCAGCAGAACCCGAGGGAAGGAAGGAGGGAGAAGCCTGAGCACAAAAGGTCAACCCGTGTCTGGGTCCAAGTTGGAGATGGAGAAGTCTGCGGAATCACCAGGTAGGCCCCGTAAGGTGAACCAGGGTGGGAGTACCGAGATGGCGATTTGCAGACTGCCGTGGAGGTGGCAAAGGTGTCGCCAGAAGAGGCGTGAGAAGACTGTCTGGAGCATCCTACTTTGGGTACACTTCAGAGGGGATCAATGTGTCCTCAGTCGCGTGCAGTACCTGCTCGCGCCTGAGGTAGGGGCGGGAAACCGAAGTAGGGGCTAGGGGAGGTTGTCCAGCAGGGGGCGCCGGAGAGCTGGGTCCCAGGCCGAGTGGTGGCTGAGAAAGGGGGAGGGGCAGGGGTGTGGGGGCGGGACCCAGGAGAGGCACCCTGGGGCCCCTCCAGGTGTGGAGCGACCGTGGCGTTCCGAGGTCACCTTGGCTGAAGAGTGGTCCCCCTTTTCTTGTCCTTTCTCCATCCTCTCGTCCTGCTTCGCCGCGCCTGGAGTGCTTTTCTGTCCCAAGGCGTGCTTGGAGACCCAAGGAGTCACCTCCCCAGATGCCTCTTTCGAGGCCACTCCGGGGTCATTTGTTTCTAACGGCTGGAGGACCGCTTTGGGTGGGGGGATAGCAGGTGGAGTGGGGGGCGGAGCATGAGCGCGCCCCGCATCCCAGTCCGGGCCGTGTGCTGCGTGATGCCGGTGTGCTGCTGGAGGGCGCGAGGAAGCGCTGCGCCCCTTCCCCTCCCCCGCTCCCTGCCACCCCCGGCGGCCCTTTGTACCATCCGGCCACACGCGCGTGCCCGCGTCGCGCGCGCTCCCGCCCGCAGTGACACACCCGCGCCGGCCGCACGCGCGCACTGGCGCGGCGCGCACACACACAGAGACACACACACTCGCTCTCGCACACTCGGTGACACGCCCGCGCGCGCGCGCACCCACACGCCCGGCCGCCGGCGCCCTCCCAAGCTGGTCCACCCCGGCGGGGCCCGCGCCCCCGGCCCGCCCGCCTGGCACCGCGCCCCGGGGCTGGGGCCGAGAGAGGAGCCCGCGAGGCGGCGAGAGGGCGAGCGCCAGGCAGGCCGGCCCGGGGCCCCCGCCCCCCGCGCCCCCGCCCGATGGGGAACGCTCCGTCCCAAGGCATGTCCCTGTCTCTCTCCTCCCTAATGTGCCTCCATGCTTAAGTGGAAGGTATTTCTGTTTTCTTTGTGTGTTTTCCCCTCGGCCGGGGGCGGGGGCGGCGGCCGGGCCCGGGAGGCGGCGGCCGGCCGGGCTAGGGATGCTCCGGGCGCAGGTGTTGCGGGGGGCAGGGGACAGCTGAGCGCCGCGCTGGGGAGGAGCAGGGCGGCAGAGCGCTGGGAACCGAGAGGGTCTGGAGCTGGCGAAGCTGGAAACGGGGCGAGGAGGGCCTCTCGGTGCCCGGGGGGAGGGGACCCGGGGTTACAATGTAGGGGGGGAGGGGTGGGTGAAGGGGGTGGCGAGGAGAGTAGGGGGGACAGGAGGGGGTCCATGCGAGGTGAGGCCAGGGATACTGAGGGGGGAAGGAAAGGGGATAAAGGGAAGAGCATCATCCCCGCCTCAGCTCTCAGAATGGGGTGCAGGCGCTGGGCTGGTAGTGCTGGACCCTTCGCGCCAGTCCCTCAGGGAAGCAAGGGACTGAGAGCGCTCTGGGTTTGGCTGTGTTGCCAGGATACAAGGCTGTATTCTACACCCTACCCCCTGCACCTCGAGGCCCTAGCCCTGGAGACCTCCTAGGCTCCACAGCAGTTGCAGAAACTGGGGACCTGCTCCCCGCTCGCTGGGCGGGTAGCGAGGGCCATAGAGAAGGAGGGACTGAGGGAGGGGCTTCTGGATCTTAAACCCTCCTCCTGCAGAGGCAAGGGGCAAAGGAGGGCGCCCCCAGCTGGGGAGGGCGTCCGGGGTGATGAGGAGGTGGGGACTGCAGGGGGTTGGAGAAGTAGAGGGGCGGGGCTGGGGAGGGGACTCGTCGTGGCTCCCCCTCCTCTCCCACGCACCCCCCTGCTACGTCAGAAGCTCCCGGGCCGGCTCCGAGTCCTGTTGGTGGGGGCAGCAGGATGCTGGTGGCAGTAGAGGGGGCCGACCGGGTGCCTCCGCAGCTCAGCTGGCAGGGCCCGGTGGGGCGTGTGTGGCTGCTGGTGCGCGCCCCCAGCCCCACGCCTCCCCATGCAGCCCTGGCAGTGCCTCCGGCGCTTTGCCCTGGCCTGGTGGGAGAGGACCGCGGAGGGTCGAGCCCGCTCTCCCAGGGAGGAGGTTGGACCAAGGGACCCTGGGGCCCGCGGGGAGCCAGGTGAGATGGTTCTGCAGTGTGAGCAAGGCTGAACTGTCCTTACAACCCCTCTCAAATATATTGCCATATCTGGGGCTCTGCAGGCTCCAGCTTTGAGGGAAGTCGGGTCCCTGGTGGCAGCTTTTCGGCTGCAGCCCCTTAGAAGGTGTTTGGGATGAAGGTGGGAAGAGGAGAAACTGAGCAGACGTTAGGTCTAGGGATCCAACTGTTCCTTCGGGTGGGGTTTGTGCCCTTTGGGGATGGGGTATTAAGATACCTTTCTCTACTCTGGTCATCTTGGTCTGGGTGACCTTGAGCCAACTGCTTGGCTGTCTAATTCTGTGCCTCAGTTTCTCCCCTTCCCTGTCCCTGCTGATGAGCCCGATGGAGAGCTACTAGGGATGGCGAGGCTGTTGTCTCTGGTGGCAGCTGGGTGTGTTGGTTTCTAGCATGGCTGGTGTGTGTTTGTAAGTGAGGGGTAGCTGTGGTATGGGTACGGGGGTCTGGTTGATGCTGGCTGGTGTGGGAGTCACTCAGGGTAAGTGTCCAAAGTACTACTCAGACAGAGTGCTCTTGATAGACGGAGAGCTGGAGTAGAGACTTAGCCTGGTGTCGGCGCAACGGTGGGTGAGGACTCTGGACATAAGGGGAAGGGGCTCCCTCTGGGCTGCCTGGTACCCAGGCACCATTGGCTGCAAAGGCTTTGCCCTGGCTCCCTGCCACTCTGCCTTGAGGACAAGAGGGTCTTTGTCCAATGCTGCCCCCCAGTCCTGCATCTTTCCTTCCTGGAGGGCTAGCTATGACCCTGGGATGGAGGCTGGGGTGGGTCTCCCTTCTGGCTCCTACTCTGGAGACTTGCCTAGAAGAAACACATGTAGTCTGAGGCTGGGAGAGGGGAGAGGAGCCTCATTAGGGGAAGGGTTCCTAGAACAAGCAAGCCCTCAGAGACATGCTCCCCCTCAGACTCTCCACCCCCACCCCATTCCTCTGTTCACTTTCTACTAGCATAGGAGGTCTGGGGGCTCCCTGGCCTTACTTATATAGCCTCTTAAAGGTGAGTAGTGACCATCCATGGCTCCTCTGAGTGTCCCCCTCCTTCCTGTCCAGGGACCCACCCAAGAAAAGGGTTTAATTAGAACCATTGATTCCTTTTTGGCTGCGGGCATCGATCTCGATGGTGTGGTCAGAGCAGGGGATGGGGGAAGGGGTGGCACAGGCTGTCTGCTGAGTGCTAACCTTGGCATTCTCTGCCAAAACCCCAGCCCTGGAAGTGCTGAGCAGGAATCGGGCTGGGCTCTGTGAAGCTCCCTACCTCCAGCCCAGATAGGTGTTGGGGAAAGAGGAGCAGCCCAGCCGAGGGCTGGAAGGGCTGGGCACTGTGCTCAGGTGAGGGGAAGGTTGGCTCACATGAATTTGACCTCTTTCACTGAGCTGGGAGCACAGCAAGAAGTGTGGTGGTTGACAAGGTCTGTGCTGTCACCATCACGGGAGTCTGGAGGAATGGAGTGGCCTGTGAGTGTCCTGGCAGGTCAGGGTCCAGGGGAAATCCCAGGCTGGCCATAAAGGCATCTCTTTCGAGGAATTCTAAGCACTTATCTCTAAGCTCTGGCAAGGAGATGCCTTTTCCTCCTTCATTTATGTTGTTCAGGCCCGGATAGGAACAGGGCCTGCCTGGATGCCCAGCTGGCCCAGGTCTGGCCTGGCTCCCTGACCTTGTGGCCCCTGCCTGGACACAAGGTGCCAAGGTGGAGGCTTCTGAATCCTTGGCTCAGCTCCCTGGAGTTGGGGGTTCTGGGGATGAGTTGTGCCCCCAGCCCACGCCTGCTGTGGGTGGGCCGGAGCAGGTGCAGCTTCAATGAAGCACTCAGGGGCTCTTTGAAGACTCCTTAGCTGGCTTCCCAGGGCCCATTTGAGCAAAGATAATAAAAATCTGGCCGTCAGCGGGTTTGAGGGCTGCGCTCGCTTCCCCTTCTTTCATTCCCAGCTCTGAAAAGAGGAGATGAAGGCTTTGGATTTGGCTGGGAAGCAGCTCCTGCCCCAAGGGAGAGAGAGGCAGGAGCGAGAGAGGGAGGGAGGGAGAGAGGGCCGACTTCTTGGCAGCCAGTGATGGGCAGAAGCTTGGTCCCCAAGCCCTGCTGACAGTGTGGCACCTCAGTGGCAGGACTCCATACGCAGTGCCCCGACTCTAGTGTGGTCCTCTAGGTCCCTGGGACCCAACAGCATCCCTCTCCGCCCTCCTGTTTCCAAAGTCCCCTCTTCGCACCTCTGCCGGTCTCCTGCCTCACTCCCACCTCCCATCTCCCTGCCTCTCCTCCAGCCTGCCTGCCGCCCGCCCCGTGTCCCCTCTCCTTCAGAGGTCCCCTTGCTCTCTCTGGTGGCCCCTCCCCTCTGTCTGTCTGCTCTGCCCTAGCAGCGATCCTGCTTTCTAGGACTGAGTGGAAGGTTGCTGCTGAGGGAGCAGTCCCTGAACAGCCATAGCCGCAGCCTCCCTCGGTAGGGATGGGCCAGCTGACTATTATGGGCTGTCAGGTGCCATCACTGTCAGAGTGCAGGCTGGAGGGGCTGCTGTGCATTTAAGAGCACACTCAAGCCTGCTCGTCGTGGTGTGTGTGTGTGTGTGTGTGTATGTATGTGTGTGTGTGTGGTGGCTCTTCCCACACCACCTCACCTTGACAGTGGGCTCCTCATACCCCTGCCTCGCACACTTCAGGAACCTTCTGGCACTCACCTCCCCACCTCCCCAACAGATTTTTTCCCCCAGCCCTTCTGGTCCCCGTCCCTGTTCCTTAAGGGTACTTCTGTCACACAGCTGTCTCTCAATTCATGCCCATCAGACTACCTTCAGGCTCCAGGGAGGGATCCAGGAAGCTTCTGGGCACCATGCCACGCCCTGGCCAGTTTCCCCTGGTTAACCCTCCAGAGGACAGATGCATCAGAAACCATACTGAGCCTGGAGCCCTGCACTAATCCTGTCTCAGGCCTAGTTGTCTGTGTGACCTTGAGTAAGTCCCTTCCCTAGTCTCCTTTCTCACCTGAAATGAGGAGGCGGGGCTGGATGATCTCCAAGGTCTCTTCTGACATTCCTGCGAAGTTGTGTCTCTCTTCTGGGTGATTTGCATATGCTTTGCATATATTAATAGCGCTTGCTTACATGGGGAAGGACACCACCCACATGGGGCTCAGAGTCCCGCCTATCTTTCCAGCTCCCCTCACCCATTGGCTCAACTCCCAAGGCTCCAGCTTCTTTGAGGGTGGGAACTAAGCATCCGGGAAGGTGGGTGTCTGGTCCCCCACCTCTCCTGTGTCCTTACTCTAAAGCAGGATGTATATGCATGGCCTTGGTGGGGAGGATGCAGCAGGACAGGGCAGTAGGGTGTCAGTTCTCTAGAGCTTCTTGTAGCTGCCACACGCTAGGTGCTTGGTTTGGCGCCTCAGGCCCTTCCGGCTTCAGCTCAGGCCACAGCACACGCAGCTGTGCCCTTTCCCTCCTATTCCAGACCAGGCCCCCGAGCTCTAGGAATGAGAATTGAAACAAACCTTAAATATGGAGAGAAGAGGTTATTTCCTGCCTGGCCTTAGACTGTGTGTGTGTGTGTGTGTGTGGAACCCAGAGGTCCTGGTCCGCCCATCCTGATCTTATAACACATCCATAGGCCTCCTTGCTACCCACGTGCCTTCCATACCCGGCACAGGGCAGAGCCCTGGACCCCGGTCCCTAGTCCTGCTGTGGTTCCTTCCAAATGCATGTCCCCTGTTACCTAGGGCGAGGCTGGGATAAAGGCTGGTGGCCTAGAAGAGGTAGTACAAGGCCACTGAGTCACGATGGCAGCTTCTGAAGGAAGGGACAGACATGAACTCCGTCCCCAGGGACTGGCACAGAGGAAATGCAGCAAGTGAGAACAAGGTTAGACTTAGCTTCAGGGAAGCACAGACACCGAGGGCAAAGTTAGTTTCTACTATGAAATAGAGAAGACTACACGAGAGAAGAGACGGAAAGGCCCAGCGCAGTGCCCGGCTTGGGAGAAGCGAACCGGGGTTCTGGGGAGGGGCAGAGACTGCCGCCCGAGGCTGGGCTTTGGGGAGGACATGGTTGGGCAATTCCTAGAAGAAGCTTTTTCTGTAGTCACGTCGCTACATCAGCCATTCTTCCGTCATGTACAAACCGGGCGTAGGGCCAACTGCCAGGACACCCTGCCCTGGTATGGTCCTCAGTGCTGGCAGGGTGTGGAGGCTGCACGTCTGCTCTGCTCCCTTCCCCTTCTCCCTGCATGGACAGCTTGGAGCAGGAAGAATGGAGGTAGATAGAGAGAAAGCACTTCCCAGTCTATGAGGAAGGGTCGGCAGTGTGGGAGCAGAAGTTAGTTTATCAGCCATTCCCCCCAGTGGTCAGCATGGCACCCTCTCCCAAAAGGTAACTCTTGCGTGTGACCGAGGGGTCCTGAGGTGTGGAACAAAGGAAGCAATAAGGAGTCCCTTTTGTTCCCTAAAGAACAAACTTAGACTGGCGTCTCCTCTGTTGCTGTGAGACCTTGGCAACTGTATTGCCCTCTCTGATCCTCAGTGTCCTTGATATCAGTAAAGAAGTTGGAAATAGAGGTTTTTAAGCTCCCTGTCAGTTGTCTAAGGTTCTCCCCACCTCCTGTCCCCTGAGATAAGAAATGCTTTGTCACATGAAGGGCGGGAGGAATACCTCCCAGCTTCAGCTGAGCCAGAGGAAATGGCACAAGGCCAAGATATTTGGACCCACACACATGCACACGCTGGTGGCTTACTCCATGACTGACACACACCTTGCCTGCATCTATCCTCCAGCCTCGGGGATGGATGAGGTGGCTGGAGGCCCGGCCAGTCCTGCACTCCATTCTATTGAGAAACCAGAATCCAGCCCTTGTTTTCCTTCATGCTGCGGGTCCAGCAGGTGGCCGGCCTCAGTCACTGCTCCCAGGTTTTCTGAGATCTGTGGTCAGCAGGCTCGGCTGCCTGCAAGGCCCAGGGTGGAATATCCCAAGCCAGGAGAGAAATTGTGTTCCTTGGGGTCTCATCGCTGGGGACCCCCAGAACTCAGTAAGCCTTAGACTTGGTCCGCAGTGAGGCCCCAGCCAGAGGTATTTGTACATGGCCTGAGGGTAACATATCCTTGTCCTATGCTCCCCTACTTCAGTCTCCTGATAATGGCCAAGGGCTGGGTGTCCCTGCAGCGACCCAGATACAAGCCGCCTCCTCCTTGAGGAGAATTAAGCTCCCCAAGAAGGTGTCCAGGGCTCATAACAGCCCTTGGCAGACATAGACCCTCACTGCCAACCCCAAACCTGGTCCTTAGGAGCCTAGGCCTCCTGGTGTGTTAAACAGAAAGTGACCTCTGAGGGGCTCCCCTGCTTACTATAGCTGTATGGGGAGATTCAGGAAAGGGGCTCCTAGAGCGTTAAAGTCACCCACGGTGAAACCTTGTCACCCACCTGACAGCCTGGGGCCAGTCACCTGCCCTAGGACGAGGCAGGAAGAATGTGGGGAAAAAATCTACTGGAGCATGTAATGGACCACAGTTAGACTTCAGGGAGAACTTCCCATATACTGGTGCAAGGGGAGGTTGGATGGGAGGTGGTCCAGGAGCAGCTCTGGGGACACTCACTGGGGACATGGCTTCACTTTCCTGTAGCACTGAGACCCAGTGCTTCAGCCGGTACAGAGGGCAGGACTCTGGGAAGGGTGGTGAGAAGGGGCTGGAGATGGGGTGCAAGCGGAGTTGTAATTCCAGCACCAGTGAGGGTGGCTCAGAGTTCAAGGTCATCCTGGACCACTCACACTGTGTAGAGACTGGGCTGTTGAGTCCTGCTTTACCCCCAAAGCAGTCAGCCTGCCCCTCTCACACCCACCATCCAAGGCACCCTGGGGTGCCGGATCAGTGGTGCATTCTTGCTTTATTTCTCAGTAGTCTGCCCACATCTGGGCACAGCAGCTGTTTCTCCCCGGGGCGTCCGTGCGTCGGGTAATCGGTGGGAAAATTGGAACCGGGAGATTGGCAGGGGGCTCAGAGAGTGCGTGCAGTGAGTGTGGATGTACCCAGGCTAGCCAAGCAAGGGCTGTGCCCAGATGCAACGTCTCCAGGCAGGAAGGGGATTTGTACCTCAGACCCCGTGGCAAAAAAGAGGTGGTATCTGTTAGCGTGGGGTAGGATAGATTTAGGAAGTTCTGTGTAGAAAGAGAAGGGTATGAGAGGAGATGTGGAGACCCTGCAAAGGGGCCTCCAGCAGAAATAGGACCGGAGCTTTTCACCACTGCGTGGCCAAGCAAGGTTTGCATTTGTGTGTGAACACCTGTAGGCTGTGTAATGCCCGTGTCCTCTGTTGGAGACCACAGGACATTCACGGCTGGGAGTGGAATCAGGGATGAGGTTGCCAGATTGAGGAAGGGTCCTTGGAGCTGGGGGAAGGGCAGTGAGCAGTGATGCTAGCCCTCTGACCTTGACCCCATTCCTGCCCAAAGTGGGAGACCCGGATAGGGGGAGTTGTTGGGCCCCCATGGGTGCTGCATTTGGGGTCTTAAATGGGCACCCAAGCCAAGCGTCTGCTCCCTAGTCCCAGAAAGAGGACCAGGGCTGTCTGTCTGACGGGGGGGCCCGTCTCTGGGGACCCCATGTTTTCCGTGTTGTTGCTGTCTGTCCTCCTGTCTGTCCCCAAGTGATGTCTTTGTCCTTTTATTGCCTGCCCTTCCTACAATCCCTGGTCTCTACCCCGAGGGGAGCCCCTCACACCCTGGTGACCTCTAAAGGGACAGCTCCTACAGCCCTGCCTTGCTGCACCCCGCCCCCTGGCCCAACCCTCCTGCCCCTAGCTCGTTCAGCTCATTCACTGGTTTCCTCCTTTCCTGTCCCTCACCCAGGGCTCCAGCGAGCGGCGGGAGGGAAGCCGGCAGGACTCTGTTCCCTCTGTTTAAAGTCTCCAGGTTAGTAAGCCAGGAGGGAGCCCACCTAGTCAGCACCCTCCGCTGCCACTGGGAGGGCCGTGCCCAGGGGGCCAGGCATATGTCAGGGGGAGGGGACGGCAGATCCCCATGAGGGGAGGGCATCTTGCCTGGCAAATATGTGTCTGTGTGCACGCGTGCATGTGAGTGTGCCTGTGTGAGCACGCAGGCATGTATGTAGGTGTGTGTCTGTGTGGGCTGGGCATGGGCTAGAGGCAGGCTACCTCTGCCAAGACCTGAGGCCCCAGAGGCTCTGTTGGGGGCGGGGTAGTGGTGGGAATTGGGTCAGGTGACCTCAGGACATGGTTTTTCAGTCCCTTGTCCCTTGGTATCCACTTCACTTTGAAGAGTCACTGAGCCGGCGCAGGCTCCAGAGGGAGACCCAGCAGGGCCATGCCTTGCCACCCTGCCTGGTCATGGCTGCCTTAGGGAGCGGTGTTGAGTGGTGGGGGCTCACAGCATCTCTATGACAGAGACATCTCCCTCAGTATCTCTGGGCAGGGGCCATGTAACCTAGCAGTGGTCTAGCCTCCAACAGTGGCATCCATCCGCCACCCCAGTGAGGTGGTATCTTATTCACTGACATCTTGGCTCGGCCTGCTAATGCTGGAAACCCCTTTGTACTGTCCTGTCCCTCTCTGTAGAGTGTCCTGAGACCCATGCTGTCACCCCATCAAGCAGGGACTCAGACTCCAATTCCCTGGAGGCTGGGAGCAGTACCATCCAGGCCACCACTAAGGCCTTTTGGAACCTGGACTAGGACAGCCCTCCACCCTCCTTCTGTGCTCAGGGCTCGCGGCTCAGACCACTGAGTCAGGACGGCCTGTGTTTAAATCCCCATTTAAGCCCTTGCAGCTGTGTGGCCTAGGACGAACCCCTTTCCCTCTCTGAGCCTCATTGTTCTGGGTTTCGGTGAGAATGTGCATGTGACAGGCTGTGAAGAGGGACAAGCACTGACCCGTGGGCTCCTGCCTGAGCAGGGTGCTCTGGAGGTGGCTTCTCTTCCTGCCTCATGTCCAGGGCTGGGCTGGCTATGCCTAGGTGCTGTGTGGTACTGCCCACCTACTCCAGAGCCGAGGGGCTGTGGAGCCCATCTTGTCAGTGACTCTGTGTCCTCCACCCCCTATCCGCGTCCAGGCAGGCATGGGTGTGGGGGGAGGCGGCACTCCTCACCGCTGTGGCTGCCTCCACCGCCTTGATGGCTTTTTAATAACTTTGCTCTGAGACAATCTGCGGAGCGCTCGTTTGTCTGCCTCTTAATTAAAATTACCGTTTTCCTAAAAGAGCAGCCATGCTCCTGCCCTCCCCAGCCTTAGCTCCTACCCGGGAAGGTGGGGAGGAGCTGGCATACCCTCCTGAGAAGTCCAGGTCCTCCCTAGACCCCTGACAGATAGATCTCAGGGGGCCTGTGGGGGGAGGCCTGCTCTGGCGGAGGGGCCAAGGCCTTCTTTTTTTTTGCCTATCTGCTTTTGGAATGCCCCCAGTGATGGAGGGGCCCACTACTTCCTGAGACTACTTTCTGTGTTCATGGAAAGATGTGGCAGCCCCCATCTTGCCTTGTTCTGAGCGGAAGGTGTGGATGGATTTTGGAATGGATGGGGGCATTGTTTGAACTGCTGTTGGGTGGGAGCCAGGGCACCCAGGGAGGGCTCAGTGCCTATGTCGCTGTTTTCAGGTAGATCTGTGTGTTCCAGGGGCTCTGAGGGTAAGGCAGTAGAATGCAGGCTGCATTTTCCCGCGGTATGGTTGGTGTGGTGAGGCCATTAGCTTCTGGTGGTGGTGGTTTTGGGGATGTTGTGAGAGATAAGAAGGCTTAAGGTCTTTACTATGGTTGTCCCGTGGTTTACCTCCTTTTCTGCTGTCCCCAGAGTGGTGCTGAAGATGCTGTCATTTTTGTGTTGGGGGCAAAGCAGATACGACAGGAAATCATGCAACATGCCCAGGATCAGACAGATGACCCGAGTTCCAACCCTGCCCCTTCTCACCGCCTGCCTTCCTCCCAAAGCCTGCCTTGAGTCTAGCCTCCATCCCTCATGTTGCTGGGGCAGTAGGGGAGTCTGTCCACTTACTGGAATGCAAGAGGCATTCCTTGTTAGTCCTGGCTCCTGAGAACCCACTGTGAGGTTCCCCTCTCTCATCCTCTGCCGCATCTTCACTGTGTCCTGACTGAGGTGTTCCCAGTTCTGCCAGGCCTGGCTTTCTGTTCTATACACTAGGTCTTCTGTGGCTCCTCTTCTGGGACTGTATCTGGTGTATATATGATCATGTCCACAGTCAGCACAGGCCTGTTGTGTGCCAGACAGTTTGAAGGTGCCAAGATGTATGGAACAGGGCATGCGCAGACACCTTCTGTGACCTTTGCCAGGCCAGGATGCCTGAACATCAGCGTGACCACCCCGGGGACATGTACTGGTCACCTGTGGGCAGGCGGGGGCCCCTCTTCAGACCTCCCTCCCCCTCTGCTTCTGTCCCATCCCAGCAGCCCATGATGGCGGAGTGGTGACAGGTGCCGAGCGCCGAGATGACAGTGCTGCTCATTCCCCCATAATTACCGTCTGATGAGACTCCAGAATTAGCCACCGCGTGAGCATGGGCATCAGATGCGAGCACGGGCATCAGATGCGGGCACGGTGCAGGAAGTGGCTGGGGGCAGGGAGCCGAGCCCTGGGAGCCCTTGGGAGCCCTGGGGTCCTGGGCAGCAGGACAGGCGCAGCACCCAGAGAGGGAAACGGGCCAGAAGGAGGAGACGCTGTGTGGTTCATGTCCATCAGATGTCCGGTAGTTTGTGGTTTCCCACTCCTCAAGGTGCTGGGCATCTGGACAGGGTTGCTGGGGTCCCAGGCCACTCACCAGAGACCCACATGTAGACGGAGTACATGCCGTGTGCATCTTGGCTCCACCATGCTGGGCTGTGAGGAGCAGTGGAGTTCAGAGCTGGGGGCCCCTGCACATAACCACCAGGCCGAGCCCTGAGGCAGATGGATGGCTGGGAGGAGCATGCAGTGAGAGTGAGGGGCACCTGAAGCTCAAGATGAGGCAGTGTGATACCCCAGAGGGGGCGGCAGGGAGGTGAGGCACTGGATATGTAGCTGGACTGCTTCTGTCCTGGGCAGCCTCAGAGGGCAAGCGTTTTTGAAGTGTAGGCAGAAGGAGATCACTGGGTACATTCCTAAGACCTTGTCTGGACCCTAGAGCACTTCTGAAGGACAGCAGCTAAGAAGGATAGTGACACCAGGGGCATTGCTCTATCAAGGCCACTGGAAGCCAGACCATCCAGGGAGGACCTGTACCAGCAAAGAAGATATTGGTGTAGCAGCCTCCCTCACCCCCAAAAGGAGAGGTCATAACCCTTTCCTGGGCCCTGTGAGAGTCTTACTTTCAGGAGGAGGAGGCCTCGTGATGATGGACACCTTTGCTCTAGCGAGGTCTCCATTCCTGGAGGCATCCAGACTCTGGCTGCAGGGCTGGTGAGCAGGGAAGGCTGTCTGTCACAGCCTGGGACCTGGTGGGGGAGGACTCTGAGTCTATCAGGTTGAAAAGAGGGGGCTTAGAAACACTCCTCCTCGCTCGCTCAGCTCAGCCCGTCTGCAGGCTGCTGTCTTCCTGTCATCTGTCCTCTTATGCCCATCCCTTGCTCCAGCCCTGGAGACCAGACCTCTAGTCAGAGGGTGGTGGGAACAGATGTGGACTAAGGAGGGTGGGAATCCTGCTTCTAGGAACAGGTGCCTCCACTCCTCCATGCCCGTCTTGAGCTAAGTTACGCTTCCCAGGCTTCCAGTCTCTTGACCTGTGCTCAGCTTGAGCGCGGCCTCACAAAGCTCCTTTGAGAGGGAAATGAGTCATAGCTGCAAATGCCCTTTGAAGTGTGGTGCCCAAGGCGACATAGGGACAGGCCCTGCTCCAGGCTGCATTCCTGTTTTCCAGGAAGCCCACTGGCTTGCTTCAACCTCTCTCTTTTCTTCCCTCCTTCTCTTTTTCCTCCCTCCCTTCCTCCCTGTTTCCCATTTCTTCCCTTCTTTCTCCCCCCTCTCCCTCCCTCCCTTTCTGGTACCCAAGATGGAGCCCAGGGCTTTGTGCTCTGCCACTCAGCTGTATCTCCAGCCTTGTTTGCCCGCTTTGTTGTTTGAGACAGCATTGAAAGTTAACTCAGGCTGGCCTTGAACTCTCTCTGTGGCCCAGGCAGGCCAGGACTTGTGATTCTCCTATGTCAGCCTCCTGAGTAGCTGGGGTTGCAGGCCTTCACCATCGGGCCCAACATTTTTCTTTTAGTAGTTAGTGCTGGGGTGGAACCCAGTGTCTTCCAAATGTACTAGGAATGAGTCCCGCCCCAGCCCAGGGTTTCGCCCTCTTTACCCAAGGGGCCTGGGTAGATGGAAGCAGAAGGAAGACCCCAGCCTTTAGCAGATACCAGGGCACAAACAAGGGCTTGCCTCCTCCTTCCTGCCTGTTCTGGTGGAGGATTCAGGTTAGATAGCAGAGAGAACTTCCCCTAGCGTCATGTAATCAGGCTTGTTTTTCCTGAGCCCTTTCAACCCTGGCTCCTGTGGCCTCTTCCATACCTCTCAGGACACTAACCTTGTGTCCTATGGATAGAAATGGGGGGCAGGGACCTACTCTGGATGGGAGGCCTGGGGCCATGTCAGCTGATAGGAGCCTCACCTGTACCCCCCAAGGAGAGGCCAAGTCCCTGCAGCACAGAAGCAGGACCCCAGGTAACAACCTCAGCATTGGTGCTGGATCATCGGTTATCACCAGAGTCAGCAGCCTTGAGGTTGACTGGGGGTTTATTTTGTTAGTTCCAAACAGACCAGACACTTGGGGAGGCAAAGGGAGGGGGGTACTGGTTGGTGCCTCCATGACAGCCCCCATTACCTTGGCTTGTGTTTTGAGATAGGGTACCATGTACCACAGGCTGGCCTTGCACACTTATGTGGCCAGAGATGACTTGGAATGCCCGATCGTCCTGTCTCTGCCTCTCTGAG